AGAGTGGCATGCCGCTCTATTTTTCGATCCCCCATCGGATGGGCGGTCCCTATTAGAGCTGATGGAGCCTACCTGTGTTTTTTCCGAAAATGAGTATTCAAACGATCTCTGCCTTCACTTACGATGAATCGTTTGGTATACCCTTGATATCTCCACGGAGTCTAACAATCTACACCACCTTCCCTCAAGTTATTTTCCCCTGCCGTTCCATTAGACATTAGAGCATGCCGTACTATTGGAGCATGCCGCTCTATTTTCCGCAATCTTCTACGGAAGCCGTTCTATTGGAGCATGCCGGTAATTGGAGCATGCCATTCTATTAGAATAAATACGGTATGATAATCTGAAATATCAGGAAAAATGTTATGATTCGGGGAGGATCCTGGTTTCCGCTCGCCATCTGGGACAGGCCTATTCTCGGCTCGGAGAATCCAGGCTCCTGAGATTTCTGGCTTCTGAGAATTCTGGCTTCTGAGAATTCTGGCTTGAGATTCAGGCTGCTGGAATTCTGGCCCCTGACGATTTTGGCCTCGAAGACTCTGGCTTCTGAGAATCTTGCACCTGGGGCGATGCCTCTCATCTCTTATTGAAGCCTCGTCGAAGCACCGAATACGTCAGCTCCATTCCGAATCCTTTCTTCGGGGATAGACCTGATGTTGAAGTTGGCACAATGCATTGCTCCCTATCACGCGATCCCACATTCTCAGCGGGATCGCTTTTCAGTCAAGACGAGGGAATCCTGGACCACACAGAAATTGGCGCCTCCGTAATGTCATGGGTGTCGATCGAAAGAGTAATGGCTGAGGATTCTCAAGATCGAAGCTGGAGGACTATCCACAGAATCTCCGGATCCTCCGACGAATGATTGGCGGAATCAGAAATCTGAATGGGAGTCCTGTGCTCTTCAGAGGAACTCGATCTCCTCAGGAAAATTGAGAGGGATATCTGCGGAAACCTTGATTCGGATCGAGAGAGACCGGAAAAAAATCGAGGGATTTTCTCTGGAATTCTGGCTCTGTGTGCAAGTCTGAAACGAAATTCAAGTCCCTCGAATTTGGATCGAAGGAGGTTCATTTCAACACGCAGGGTTCAGGACGCGATCAGTACTTAGAGCGAGCATCTCGGTTCGGACCCATCCTCGTTCGTCCTCAACAGGAATTCCGATCTGGTTTCCGAATTAGGCTGATTGCTCCGTGTGAGGGTCGAGGGAGAAGCCCGTGACTCGAAGACTTTGTGAGGGTCGTGCATTGTCTCAGTCCCACCCTACCGGAATTCCGGCCATGGTACTCGAGTATCGGAGAGGATGCGCGGAAGAAGCGCCTCGTCCACCATATATAAGTCGACGACGCTTGTAGACAGCATCAGTTGTTTGTTAGATCGATCTCATCCAAGACAATGGCTAACGCTGGCGAGCGACCGACTTCTCCGCTGCTTTCGGAAGAGTATGCCCAACGTGGTCTTCCGGAGGTGGTGGGCATCGAGGAGACCTGGAACCTCGATTTCTGGGCTCCCTCATTCGAAATTCCTTTTATGGCGCCTGGGCCAAGGAGGATTCCATTTCTGAGGTCTGCGAAGAGATGTCCGCTTCGTCACCGTTTAGAGGAGCTTCGAGAAGACCCACACGGTGCCAACCTCAGGTTCAGGCCGAGGAAGGCGCGTCAAAGACGGGAAATCGAACTCATCCCTGTCTCAGAGCTTAATTTCTGCCCGTTCTGCCGCAAGAACGGGGAGCCGCCTGAGGTCTTCGAGTCGCACCGGTTGAAGGATCCCAACGACATAACCACCTGCCCGAAACTCAGAGCTTATCGTTGTCGCATCTGCCACAACGGAGGTGGCGATTTCGCCCATACGATGCGTTACTGTCCGAAGCTAGGCAAAACCGAAGCAGCCGCAGGATTTCCATCAAAAAGGCTGCAGTGAGGACGGGGGCGGTTCCGGCTTCCGAAGAACGAGTTCGCGTACTGCGATGTGAAAACATAGGTACCTAGATGGAGGGAGCAAGTACAGCTCAATCAGAACCATACTCGTATATACAAACGCAATAAAGTCATCGATTTTCAAAAGATGTATTCTCACCCTTATTGCCCAAAACACCGTGAGGACCCTAGCCGAGTGAAGAGCGGCGCTGGAATGAGGAAGAAACGGAGAACATTGGGGAATTTGAATTCATCCCGAATTATCTAAGCACAGTCGAGCGATCTATACTGGTGTCTGCTCCGAGCTCCGAGAGCTCCAATAAGGAGCCTCATCATGCTCTCTCCACCTTCACCTGTCTTCGACTCTCAATATGCGTCTATAAGATCTATGCACATCGAGTTTCATCGAGAAAGGAGCGCCAACCAGGGAAGACTTCAAATTGATATTCCCTGAGGCGTCCGACCCAGCTAAGAACGCGGAATCAGATTTTCTGCTTTCGCGAGCAGAAGATTCTCGCATCGACCTTGCGACTGTTCTCCATTGAGGGAGAGATTGAATATTTTCCCACGTCGAAAAGGAGGATGACGAGGCTTGGACAAGATGTCAGTAGAGGAACGAACACGGGAGTATTCCTTCACGGCGTTCATCCAAGTCTTGACAGATGACTCAATAGGAGTTCCACCTCTTTTCAGTGCTTTCAGGGGGAAATCGTCCTCGAAATTGGAATAGTTCACTCCCTCTCATGACCTGATCCGACAACTCTCCTGCTATCAATATTCCACTGACAAAATCCGGCAGAGGAGAGAGAACAAGCTCACAGCCTCTCAGTCAAGAAATCCTTGCAAGGGCTTAAAAACCCATGGTTCCTTCCCTGATTCGGAAGCTGCGACACGTTCCACAGAACAAGGGATTAGGACAAGGGGGTGGTATTCAAATAAAGGAAATCGGCGTTCGGAAGAGGCGCAGCCCAGAGTCATTGATTTTCTTGCCGCAAGAAGCACGAGGATCCCTAGCTGGGAGAGAAAATGCTCTGGAAGAAGATCCGAGCTCACTCATTGCTCCTGGGTTCTGCTGATGGAAAAGTAAAGGCTCAAGTCTAACCCGAAACCAGGTTCAGCCGACCGCTCCCTTTCTTGGGCCGTTCCGAGGCTCGAAACTTTCAGCGACTTCGGGGTGCTCATGGCGATAACTTCGATCGAGTATGTCTGTCTCCATGCCTGCATGACATAGCTTGCAAAGATAGTCTCATCTAGGACCATCGATGAAGCCATGTGGCGAAACTACGACTGAACTTTCCCTGAGGCATTCTACCCTTCTTCCGATTTGGCATCAGATGCTCCGGTCGCGGATAGTGGGACAGGCCCGCATCGGGGAATCGCGTTCAGTCCCCTGCGGAAAGGAATTTGAGCTTTTTTCACGTCAACACGGCAAGAGGGGGACTCTGACACGGAGGCAACAGCAGGACACGGGAATATTTCGTTTCCAGCTTCTCCCACTGCAGCTTTGTCCAATAACTCTATAAGTACAATATGTACATCAGTTCCATTTTCTTCCGCTTCTCCGGGAATGAATCTGATCTAAAGCTTGGGATAATCAATCCCTCTTCATCACCTGATACGAACGTCTACAATATTTCGCCACTGACTCGCGAAAGAATATCGCGAAGGAGAGGTCTAATCTGAAATCCCTCAAATCATATTTTATGGCCAGTGCAGCATAGTACATCGGAAATATCCGAGAACTTCTGGAGAGATTCCCCCGCGATGATTCACATGAGGCTCGCATTTCAAAATCGGATACATCCCACAAAGGCTTCGTCCGAGAGTATAGGAGTGTATCCGAGAGTCCCGGTATCGACAGCTCCGGGGTTCGGGAACACAGATGATACCCGCATAAATTTTGGAGATTTCGTGAAGCGCGCGAGGTCCCGTGGAAGAGTACGACTGCGAGCTCCCCGTGACCCAAGAATCGACCCGAATGGATGGGTTTCGCTGCCGCAGCTAGAATTGCTTGTTTTCGAATAACAAACTCCGCACGGAGATTGGCGTCATCGGCATGTCATGTATGTCGATCGACGGGGTCATCTCCGAGGATTTCGGAAATCGGACCTCCGAGTTCTTCTATTGTAGCGTCAGGACTGTCCCCAAGATCCTCTGATCCGCCGACGATTTCTGATCATGTCGCAGAGATAGTGATCCGACTGGAAACCTTGGATCTCTAATTCTTCCTCTATGACCATCATCCAAGGAAAATCGAAAAAGAGCTGCTAGGAGCTATGTAGAAATGAATTGGAGGAAGCTCAAAGATGAGGCATCTACTCCGAGTTTGAGCTCTATTGGCGCATCTTCTGTTTCGAAATTCAAGGCTCTCGGGTTCGGATCGAAGGAGTTTGATTTTGGAAGGATGGCTTCCGGATGGCGGTCATTAGCCTCAGCGGACATCAGGTCTCGGCTCGGACCCATCCTCGTTCGTCCTCCGCAGGAATTCCAATCTCGGGCTAGTTTCCGAATTAGGCTGATCGCTCCGAGTGAGGGTCGAGAGAGAACCCCGTCACTCGAGGAATTCCATTTGAGCTTAACGCAGTGTCTCAGTCTCACCCCCTCGGAATCACGGCGATGGTACTCGAGTATCGGAGAGGATGCGCGGAAGCGCTGTCTCGTTCACCGTATATAAGTCGACGATACTAGTAGACAGCATCAGTACTGTGTTAGATCAACATCATTCAAGACAATGGCCGACGTTAACGAGCAACCGACTTCTTCGCTGTCTTGGGAAGAGTATGCCCAACGTGGTCTTCCAGAGGAAGTGGATATCAAGAAGACCTGGAACCTCGACTTCTGGCCTCCATCGATCGAGATTCCTTTCATGGCGTCACGGCCAAGGAGGTGTTTGCCTCGGAGGTCTCTACATGGATGTCAGCTCAATCATCACATGCATGAGCATCCTGACTGCCAGAACTGTGGCAACCTTCCAGTGCTCGGGCCGAGAAGGCGTCAAAGGCGGGAGATCGAGCTCATCCCGGTCTCGGCGCTCAACTACTGCCCGTTCTGCCGTAAGAACGGGGAGTCGCCCCAGGTTTTCAAGTCGCATAGGTTGAAGGATCGGAACGACATAATCACCTGCCCCCAGCTTAGAGCTTACAGCTGTGGCATCTGCCACAATGGGGGCGGCGATTTCGCCCATACAATGAGCTACTGTCCGACGCTAGCGCGCCCGAAACTGCCTCGGGATTTCCACCAGAAGCGGATTCAGTAAGGGCGAAGGCGATACTAATCATTGTGGGAAGCAACCTTGCAACCGGCAACCAGGATCCCCAGGAACATGAAGAGAGCGAGCCCAGTAGCGGCTGGATTGAAGCGACCCCCTATATGTGATAGAAATAAAGTATTCAACTCCCGAAATTTGAATCTTTACTAACCAGGCTAGAAACAGCATGAGGATAAATGATATAAATTCCTGGCTGATATAGAAGCGGTTCTGGAATGAGGGCGAAACGGATCAGAGAAAGAGAGTTGAATTTATCCGGCAGTTTCGAGCTTATCCGAGCAATCTTCAGTCGAGTCTGCTCCGAGCTCTAATGACTTGTGAGTGGTTCAAGCTGCTCTCGCGCACCCATACTGCTCCTTACAACTACTATGAGTTTCCATGTGCTTGCATAACATCCCATTTATCATGAAATCGTGAGTCTCATCGAGACTCAAAGGACGCAGCATTTCCTTGCCATCGCGGATCAGGGGATGCTGACATTGGATCGACTCTATTCCCATTCGAATGGAGGTTAAAAACATTTCCACGTCAAAACGAAAGATAATGAGTAGAGCTCGGTATTTCGCCATAAATGCCTATGGCCGCCTATTTTGACGCTTTTACATCGAAAATACCTATTCAGGTTTTTCCGCGCCTAAAGTGCATTTCGAGCCACCAAGATGCTAAATTCCGGTAATTTTGGGGAAAAGGGTCTAAGGGATGAACGGACTCGATGAACCCATGCTCCAGGAACACATCCTGCTTGCGATAGAATCCGATGGTCCGCCTTGACGTCAAATTTTTACCTTATAATTAGTACCACGTGAGTACCACAATTAGTACCATCAACCATTAACCATGAGTTTCGAGGTCGAGTAGGAGGAACCATTTATCGACAATCATTTGGCGGAGGGGTTGAGGATTAGAAAAGAAACATCAACTTGCACACCGCAGGATCATTCCGCAACCGCCGAGTCACAAGCGCGCCGAAATCGGTGGGGAGAAAGAGCCGAAAAACGGCTCACAAACGAAGCGCTTCCGCTTTCATTCTTGAAGGGGGCTAGGGGGGATGCTCACGGGTTAATCGCAGGAATGCCGCAGGAAGAAGCTTCGAGGAACTCACACTTATTCTTCCTCGACGCGCCGATTATTTGATTAAAATATACTATTCTGTTTCTTGTGCATGTACCGAAGTACTTCCTGTTCCCGCGGAGAGTCCATCGGCAAACTGATGGGAGGCTCGGAAGATGTCGCATGTCCCATGGGCGCGCTGAAGATCACACGTCTGGAACCGAGCGTACTGTCTTCGGAATCGAACGCATATGCAAGGGCACGGAGTCCGGACCCGCTACTGTCTATCCATGACGCTCCCATCCTACTCAGAATCAAGCCTCGCATATTGTATCCGCTCAATCCCAGGGAATCTCAATGACACAGACCGGGCTTGCGCAATCACGACATTTCGCGTTACATTTTCCCCGATGTGCAAATGTCAAGTCGTCGCCCGACTTTCGACGCCGCGATCCTGATTCTGCGCCATCCTCTGTCCAGCTGTCCAGCTTGTGGATCATGGTGAGCTCTCTTCCTCAGGTCTCCGAGTTCGCCATTTTGTCTGTATCGTACCCCTTCGTTCTCTCAAGATTGAGTGCGACCGAATGAGTCCGAGGAGTTTAAAGGTGACACAGGTATGATACATGAAGAGGCAGATCGCGCGGGCTTTTTCATACAATTGCGGCGGAACAATCCTCAACATTCCCAAGAAGGCTGACGAAGTTGGATGAGGAGGAAGCGTCGACTCGTGCATCTACCTTCCTGTGTTCCTCGGAGCAATTTGTTCCTTACTTCTCCTTCGCTCTCTCGCTTCGTTGCTCTTGCGCTTCCTCTCAATCTCTTATTCCACTTGACGATGATGTCTCTTGCCGATGGAGCGAAGTATGGATCCCGAATCCCGAGTATGGTGCGATCCAAATGGGTGCTACACAGTAGGATCATCACAAGGTCGGTCTGAGTTCTTCTTTCATGTAGAGAGGAAGGCCGTGGACGGCACCAGCCTGATTCTGAGGTGCAAGAAAGCCCGGAAGTAAGTATCCCCCCTCGCTTCTTCGGACGGAGATTCCCCTCAGTTGTCATCCAGCAATTGAAGGACCGTGAATCGGGAAGGCACCTACGAGGTGGTATAGTGTTCGGAGCGGTCGAGATCGTTCGTTTCTTCCTACTCCGCCCCGGATGTTGCGTGGTTCTCGGTTCTCGTGAAACGGTACTGGCCGTCCTCAACAGGTGCGGCTCCCCTTATAGCGGCCGCACCTGTTCTTTGAGCGCGAGGATTGCTGCATGATTGGAGGCGAGAGAGCCGCGATGCGGAGATTCCAACTTCCGGAACTCGATTCACCCACGAGTATTGTTCCCTTCCAGCCCGGTCGGGTGTCGAGTACGTGGGAAAATTCTTGCCTCCGGAGAAATAGTTTCACTCGAAGGTGTTTACAATCATATGCCGGAGTTTAAGGGTCACGCCCGTGCCGTACGGGCTGCACGAACGAATTGGCTATCTTCCATCCGGGATAATCCGCGAATTTACGCGACCGGGGATATCTTGAAGGAAAGTAGAAGGTCTACTTGCATCGTGTTGACCACAAGGAGGCACTTAAGCTATCTCGTTGCGTCCACAATGCTACAAGCGGACGCGACGAATTTGGTCGGCCACGTTTCCGGTGTAGAAAGAGCGAAGAAACTGATTTGACCCCGCACTTACTTACCTATCCGCGAAACTTTAGGTGGGCATGATCGCCTAATGAACTTCGCCACAGCCGCTGCTTACCGGGAAGTACTGGAGGTCGTGAAGAGTGAGATCGAAGGGTACGTTGGCCATGCCTATATGGGAGACTTCGACAGGGCAATGCGAGCAGCAATTGGGGAAGTTTTCCCTGGAGCCCCTGGATGTCATTTTCATTACGTACAAGCTCTGGCGGAGCGGGCGCGCTCCAGGCATGTCGGTCTCGCCAGACATATCAGGCGCCCGGGCGACGTTTTGCCCCTCTTTTTCTCCCTCACGGCTCCACCACTACTCCCCGGCGGGAAAATTGTGGAGGTTTTCGTTGAGCTAGCGCGTGAGGCAAACGAAAGGGTCCCGGAGGTAAGGCGTCTTAGAAGAACGGAATGCTACGAATTAGGTAGGTGGTTTTTGAGGATTTACCCGAAATGTCTCAAGATGCATTGCCCGAGCAGTTCTCCAGCAGATGTACGATTCGTGTGCTTCTGGTCGGGTTGATTCTATTGGAGCGAGTTCGATTCCATTTCAGCTGAACCCACTGACGTGATGAATCACTCTTGATGTCGACTCCTTTGTGCGCTGCCGTTCCGAAATTCGAGACTCTTAGCTCGAGAGTGGTAGAATGACATTCCAGTAGACAGCGGATGCCGTCCGTTGCAAGCAGGGATTAGTCGCTCTCGGTCGAGATTCATTATCGTGCGTGTACCACCTCCGCAGGAAATCGTATATTCGGAACGAGCACCGAAGCAGGCTGACCGCCCAGCCTTGGGGTTGGAAGAGACTTCAAAAATTCGATCATCCCGCGGAATCTCTGGATGCTCCCTATGTCGCACCCTCGAGATATCAGCCATCAATCATGAGCGCAGGGGAGGATGCGCGAAGGGGACGTCCCGGTGAGCGAATCGTCGATGACACAGGTAGATAGCTCCCCAGATCACCGCTTCGCAGGACGTCGGCCACCATTCCCGAATTTCCGGGAGTCCGAAAACCCGAGTTCATAATCCAGGCAAAACCATCATCATCAGATATGTTCATGGATCTTGAAGCCTCTTCCACAGAGATGGAGGGACTGAGGATTGAGGATCTGTGTGGACGTGGTTCATCCACATCCGAAGGTTGCGCTCCTCCGTCTGATGGGCAGGTCGCAGCTTCAGGGGGTCTACCGGAGGCCCTCCTGGACACCTGGACCCTAGCCATGTGGGTCTTGTCCAAACTCGAATACTCCGTCCCGGCGCCGGCGCGAGCGAGACAAGAAGCTCAGGAGCGTCAGAAGAAAGCAGAGACCGGCTACCCCTGGAATGAGCCGCAAAGTCTCTTTTCCGGGGAATATTGCAGTACTGAAGAGCTTCATGTGCGGGAACGACGGGTGCAGCAAGCGAGCGACGCCGTCGCTCGAATACTGCGCGTTCTGTCGGAAGAATGGCCAGCCGCGCGAAGTATTCCTCACGCACAATTTACTTGATCCCAGGGGCGTCGTGCGCTGTCCGTGGCTTCGGGCTTACAGCTGCGGCATCTGCCACAATGGGGGCGGCGATTTCGCCCACACCATGAGTTACTGTCCGACGCTAGCGCACCCGAAACAGCCACGGGATTTCCACCAGAAGCGGCTTCGGTGAGGGCGAAGGCGATATATCAATACCCCCGTTAATGTGATAGCAATAAAGTCATTGACTCCCGAAACTTGAATCTTTACTGACCAAGCTTGAAACAGCATGAGGATTCCTGGCTGATAGAGAAGCGGTTCTGGAAGGAGGGCAAACGGATCGGAGAAAGAAAGTTGAATCTATCCGGCAGTTTCAAGCACATTCGAGCAATCTTCACTCGAGTCTGCTTCGAGCCCTAATGACCTGTGAGTGGTTCAACCTGCTCTTGCGCACCCATGATGCTACTTCTCACAACTACTATGAGTCTCCATGTGCTTGCATAACATCCCATTCATTATGAAATCGTGAGCCTCATCGAGACTCACAGGACGCAGCATATCCTTGCCATCGCGGATCAGGGGATGCTGACATTGGATCGACTCTATTCCCATTCGAAGGGAGGTTAAAAACATTTCCACCTCAAAACGAAAGATAATGAGTAGAGCATATTGATGTTCATATTGTACTTATACAGTGATTGGACAAAGCTGCAGTGGGAGAAGCTTAAAACGAAATATTCCCATGACCTGCTGTTGCCTCCTTGTCCGAGTCCCCCTCTTGCCGTGTTGACAGCTCTACGTCTGCCCTGTCGCATGTCA